ATCACGAAAATTTGGATTTCTTCATGCACTGTATGGCTGTTTCTCTGCAAAAATTGTGGGCAAGATATACTAATCTCAAGCTTACAGAAATGAGCGAATTCTTCAATTGCCTTATCATGGGAAATTTTTTACCAGTAGAATGCCAGCAGCATGTATTTATTGTTGGGGGCGTCGATTTCTCAGTCCAGATATTCTCGAAAAACCTACTTGAACACATGCACTGGGTAAGCAACATTTATCCCCTACAGATGCTATGTTTTCAAAAGAATTCGTTCGTTTACGATTGAATTATGGCCAAGGAAGTTTAAGCAATGAAATTTCGATTAAGTGCAGTTGTGCGAGATGCTGGTGAAATTCTCACAAATGAGGTAGAAGGTTAATCTCATCACTGATGGAAAGTACATGAAGAAAGCTTCCCAATGTTGCGCGAAATTTATACCAAAAAAGAAATTTTTGAGGGAAAAAAGTTTTCGGAAAGTAGGCCTAGAAAAACGGACATTATTTTTGTACCAATCTATTATTTTGGATTTTGGTTGAAAGGAATAACGGCTGTTACTAGATTTTTGGGAGGCGAAAACTGTATGCGGGTTGCATCACTTTTGAAGCGAAGCCGAAGTGGAAGCATATTCGCTTGTTCTGTTGTATGGAAAATGGTTGTGACTAAATTGCAGTTTATCTGCAAGGAGAGCTTTGAAGATGACTGAGAACTTATGCGTCACTTCTGGCATGGAGGGCTTAAAGTGTTGATGACATTCGTTACTGTGGGTTCACTGTGGATTTTTCGGGAATGAACAGTCTCTTTAGGAATTTCAATTCGCAAAAGTAAGGATCCTTATGCCAGAGGATCTGAAGGGTGACCAAGGCGCTCTTAACCCCAGGGCCTATGAGTGTTGAAGATATTCGTTATCACATAAACAAACAGAGATTCGTGAAATCCCTCTACTTGTAATAGGAGAACTAAGGCGTGTCTTGACGGATTCCGTCACTTGTGGAGATGCAAAGGTTTTCAAAGATTGGTAAGAGATGCCAGTACTTCTGGTGGGAGATTGAGGTACCGCGTCTCCTCTGGAGGGAATTCTCGAAGCGTTGATGACATTGGGTGTACCGCAACATCTTTAAGATGTGGAAGAAAAGAAGACACGTTTGAAAGGGAAAACCAAGGAGTGTCTAGGTTTTTCGGCGTCACCAGAGCGAAGCTCCAGAACTTGAGAATCTTTGCACTACATGGAATTGCAGAGTGTAAACCGCTTTACTTCCAGCGAGAAATTGAAGTAAAGGTGGAACTCTTTGCATATGTGGAGTTTCACAGCAGTTTGATACACATCTGGTAGGGGGCCTTCAAGTGTAAAAAGCGTTTTGACACACTGTATGGACTTTGGAAGTAATTCTTGCTTTCTTGGTAAGAGAACTGGAGGGTATCTGAGGGGCTTTGTTTTCTTGCCTCAGATAGCATTGGAATAAAGGAATGAATTACTATAGTGACTGTGAGACAAATGGCGGCTGAGAAGAAACTGAGGGGGGTTCGATAGAGCAAAGCAAGCTCTACAAGGTTGCGATCCGCCTCGAGTTTTGAGCCAAAAACTAAAATGATTCAGCTGCCCGAAAAATCGGAAAAAATCATAACTCGGTTCATAAGAGACCTAGAAAAATTCTAACTTGCTCACGTAAACGCTATCCACATAAGACATCTATGTACGCCGTTGCCGTGTTTTTTCCTTTGTTAGAAATCAGGAAAACGGCAATTTTCATGCTTTTGCCAAAATGATGCTGTGCCGTCCCCACATAGATAGTTGTATACCACAAGCCTGTAGAAGCACAGACTTAAATTTTCAGCTCTTTACAAGCTTGAGTTCTCGAGAAATATCGAGTATAGCTTTCATTAGTCAGGTGGTCCAAGCTAAAATTCAAATTTCTCGAGAACTAAAGCTTGTAAAGAGCTGAATATATAAGTCTGTGCTTCTACAGGCTTGTGGTATACAACTATCTATGTGGGGACGGTACAGCATCACTTTGGCAAAAGCATGAAAATTTCCGTTTTCTTGATTTCTAACAAAGGAAAAAACACGGCAACGGCGTACATAAATGTCTTATGTGGATAGTATTTACGCGAAAAAGTTAGAATTTTTCTAGGTCTCTTATGAATTGAGTTATGATTTTTCCTGATATTTCGAGCAGTTGAATCATTTTAGTTTTTGGCTCGAAACTCGAGGCGGATCAGAGCTGTTGCTAAAGCGAGATAGCCATCTCGTAGAGCTTGCTTTGCTCTATCGAACGGTGCTTAGGAGCCTATTTAGGAGTGAAAAGTGTATGACATATTGCGTTTAACTTCAAAACGGACATTAATTTCCGGACAACCTAATACATCGAAATCCCCACAATAAAGTTTTTGAATCTCCTTAAACCCCCTCTTCCTGGCTTAGTTACAGCCCTCCAAACAATTTGTATGGCGGCGGCAAGCCTGCTCCAAGCGCAAGGGTGCGCGCCGGACACAGCATGCCACCAATTCGGAGAAAGCGAACATCTTTGGTTTTTTACGTCTGTTCGAAGTTGCTTTTATGTTTTGTTTCATTACTTTTCGTTATTCGTTTTGATCCTTTCACGATCGTCATAGGTGATGTCGTATTTTTCTGCAGAAGTCTACAGTTACCTTGTTTTGAAAAATTAAAAAAAACCACCTCATGCTGAGCCCTGGATACGCTCGATAATCTAAATCTAAGTCGAAGCCTCCTCTACGGAATGGGACTTAAAGGGTGGAAAAGACACAATGGGAAGAGAGATATCAACGATTAAAAAGGGTGTGCTTACTTTTGAGACACGCTGTATTAAGGTATTAAAGGTATCAAGGTAAAGTTATCAAAATCGAGGGTTAATCGTTTTGAAGTCAATTCTTTCTCTAAATTTGAAAATTTGAACATCGGAGACGAAGTGCTTTTATAAAGCAGCTTGGACTTTGTGAGTACAACGGTGCTACTGTGTTCAAGATGCTGCGGGAGAGCATTGACTGTCTGACAAAGCCAAAAATGCTCTGGTCCGAAACGGCAGTAATCGAAAAGTCGGTTTTGTCGTGAATGTGTTAAAAGTACAACTGCGAATTTTTAGACTTCTACAAAGCTAGCTTTTGAAAAAAAATATGAGCTAGCTCAATTTAGCAAAAGTTGGAAAAGTGAGTAGATTCGATACTTCTCGAAGACTAAGTCTTGTAGCTAACATGTCTGCACCTTCAAGAGCTTGTGGTACACAAGTGATAGTGCGGGAAACTTGTAAGCGTGCTTCTAAATTTTTTTAGAGAGCTCCTTTGAAAATCTGTCAGCCCATATTTGCATATTATATCACATTAGGTCGGTTCAAAAGTTCTTTCAGTTTTTTCAGACTGCCATAAAATAAGGTAGAATAAAGGCAGTCAAATGCACTAGGAACTACCAGACTCAGTTTTTCTTCCTTTTTCCACCAGTCATGTCTTGGAACCATTTGCTCCAATGGTTTCTGAGATAATCGAAATTTTGGACCCATGGTTTTAACCATGTCCAATTTTGGCAGTTTTTCACAATCTTCTTTTTTGGCTTTTGGAAAAACTTCAATGGCAATCAGATAGTAAACAAAGTGTAATAATGCAATTTCTTGGGGGTCTTTAGCTAGCACTGGAAAATTTTCAAAATTATTTTTCTGATGCTATCGAATTCCACTTTTGGTGATGCTAAGAGCCATAGAACATAAAACGGCGCAGAACTAAGGTGTCATTCGAATGCAGCTTTCTCTCCTCTTTCTGAGGGGCTTTTTATCTTTTCAATTCGTGGAGTCTTTGGCGATAAAATTATCGTAATTTATGATTCTGAACCCGCCCCAGGCTGTGTCCGCAAAATGTCAAGTTTGATATTTTGAAACGGCATACGCTCTAGTGCTTTGTGTTAGTGTATAACCATAATCAAACTTTGCAGGTACTATATTAAATTCCGACGATTCGTTGGAATTTGGAGCCTTTGTGTATTTTGCGACTTTGCAAAATCAAAGACTTTGGAAAAGTTATCCAAAAGTTATCCCAAAAAAATACTAACAAGGGAATGGTCAAAAATCAAAGTGGCCAATCCAGACAAGCAGCACACCATTAGATGCAGCATGAATCGCTGACTCTAAATCTGTCTTCCTAATCTGCTTATCGCTTTTCTGGACGAGGCTATAAGCCATTAAAGGCCATCATTTTGCTAAGAAATTATGCGTGGCGTGAAAATGAAAATTTAGCCGTACAGTGCAACAATTGGATTAATGCTCAACCAAAACATGCAGCTAAATTACTTTAAATTCTTAAAGCCTGAAGCTGAGCTAAAAGTAAAACAATGTGCTCGATTTTGCTGTTATTATGTATGATTTTTTCACAACAAAACCGCTTGTAGCTTCGTTCACAGAATGGTAAACAGATAATGAAGACAGATTCGAAGTCAGCGTTTTATACTGCATCGAATGATATACAGCTTGTTTGGTTTTGCCACTTCGACTTTTGTCCATTTCCTTGTAAGAAGCTGCTTGAAGTTTCAAGAAAATTGCATTGCTTTGCATTTTGTTTACGCTATCTAACGGCCTTTAAAGGCCGTTAGATTCCAAATGTTCACAATAAAGATTTTGAAAATTTGCCAAAGTTGGGCATGGTAAGAACCATGGGTTTGAAATTTCGGCGATTATCTCAGAAACCACTGGAGCGAATGGTCCCAAAACATGACTGGTGCAAAGAGGAGAAAAACTACGTTTGACAGTCCTTAAAACATTTGTTTGCCTTTATTCCACCTGATTTTATGGCAGCATGAAAAAACGGAAAGAACTTTTGAACCTACCTAATATTTGCAAGAAAGGTAAAATCTCTCATCGCGTGTAGAAACACTAAATCACGCAATCAACTTTCTGGTCAAAATCCTCCTTTTTCATTGTTTTGCCATAATGTCTGAGAATAGCTTTCAGGTTCCAAAGATTGTGCCTACCTGTTACCTGAGCTTTGTGGTGATAACTAAAGGATGTACACCAATCTTCTCAAATTATTCGGATATATGATTTTATTATGTGAGTTGATTTTCAATTCAACAATTTCCTCAGTAAGTGTACGATGACACAAAAGGCAAGCAGTAAAACGCTGATCTGCTTTTAAGTGACGAAAAAAAGCTTTGAAATGTTCCTAGGAGATTCAAAAATTCAAAAACGAGCAAAACAGAAAATGAGTAGACGCTAGCTGCCGAGAAATTGTCAAAACTAACTGCCTCACAAGAAAATCTCAGCGCGCAAATGTGCCAAAAATCTTGGTATCACAATGCTTATTATAAAGAAACTTGGCAAATGCAAGACAGCCTCAATCTCTACTTAGTGATCAGCATTGTCTCGATGCAGCAAGTTTACAGGGTGTTTAAGAAGTTTATGGTCTCAGGTGCTTCTATCGCGAGTTCTGACTGATTTTTTCCATTTTTCGTTAAACCTAAAGATTACCAAATCAACAAAGAAAAAAAAATTTTTGTTTCATAATACTTCGAAAAATTTGCAGGTGAGCAATTCTTTCAGCTTCGTTAGAGGAGCGGAAAAGTGTATCATTTATTTTGCAGACTAGACCTCCTCTGCAGACTTTGACGAAAGCAGTTTGGCCAAAACCTCGATCGTGATGTCGCTGAGTAAATGAAGGTGAAATAGGTTGCTCGCTTGCTTATAAGAATTTGTGTCAATCACGGGAACTTGATGTCTCTAAAACGTCTATTAGAATTGGAGTAAAATTCCATGCTCTTTTGAAAAGTCAAGAGCTGTCATGAGCCTGATTTGAACTCAAGAAAGCCACAATGCTGGCAGACCGAGAGCATGAAGCGCATTTGTCAAAATGTTTTCGCTGCACTCAGTGTTTAACATGAGCTTATGCTGCGGCTACATTCCCTTTATAAACTTAGGGCCGCATGCATTAACATCCCCTTCCCCTCCCGGGAAGGGATCGCAGCTTTAGAAGAAAGCTTTATATCCTGAAGCTTCAGACATCTGGATTTCACGCTGTCTATCTTTCCGTAAGTACTCCGAACATCCTTCACTATGAACATTCTTAACGGAAGCAAGAAGCTGTACAAACCGTATTTTCCCGCTTTTTGTTTGATCCCCCAATGATCCCCCGCGGCCAAACGTCTTTTCTTTAGAATCATTTTTCTTCCTGCGAAGTTAACGAAAACCTTCCAAACTAAACTCCTAAAATGTGTACATTAGTGACCAAAATGTTTTTTACCCCTTTACTGGTGCTTAAAAATAGAAGAAAGTTTTGTTGCAAAGACCTCGTATACGCGTAGAGAAACATTCAATCAGATGAAGTTTTATTGTTAGATTTAGCGTACAACACATTACAGTGGAAAAAAGCGAGAAAATGCGTTCTTAACCTGTAGTAAAATTCCTGTCACATATATGATATTCTAGAACAAAATGTTTGAAGCAGAAAAGTTTTTCGCAATTGTTTTTCGCAATCTCGTTTTTCGCCATCGCTCTGAGGCTACGCGCCCGATCTACGTTTGACGCTCATTTCGTTCAAATTTTTATTTCTGCACGTTTCTTGAGCTTTCTCGCATAGTTTCATTGTATTTGACATTCCTTTTAGAGAAAGATACTGTGGCGTGCTTTTCTGCTTTTAAGCACCAGTAAAGGGATAAAACACGTTTTGGTCGCTAATGTACACATTTTAGGACTTTGAATATAAATTACAAAAAATTTGTGCAACAAAAGAATTGACCCTCCATACATCGGCACATTAGTTAGCGCTCTTGCCACTGGGCCACACTGGTACGTCTAGCTGAAGGTGGCAATCGTATTCGAATAAGGCGCGCTGGTTCTCGTGCGAAAAACGCCCGGAGCTCCCCACCCACAGGTGTTCTGCAGCTAGCAAGGGTGGTTTTGGAAATGTCCTCCTGAGTAACGTGTCACACAACCCATCCAGTCTCAAACGGCCACTGCGATTTGTGACACTTCCCTGGTTAGTGAAAGGTTTGGAACCAGAGTCAAGCGTGGGGTGTGGCATGCCCATACCTGGGCTCGTATTGAGGGATCAGGGATGGGTGGAGGGTCGTTTTTAAGGTGGTTATGAAGTTAGCGATAACATGATATTTGTTAAAAGATAGGAATTACGCAAAGTACTAGCCATTGATAGTCTGACCTACCATCGCAGTAAGCATAATGGAAGTGCCCTAAAAACATAAGAGCATTATTTCGCAATCAGCATGTCAAATATGTGGTCCAAGTTTCAGGAAATTTTAAGGATTCCAAAGAAATTTTTCTTCATTTAAATGAGATGGTCATTTTTGAATATGTTAACTTTGTTTCAAAAATGAGCTACGTCTTTTTGCTGCTACTATAAAAAACTTGCACTTCCTTGCTTATAGAAATCTCATTCCAATTGAGCTCCATAGAAATTAAGAGCATACCAAAATTTCGTTTGCCCCCTTTTTTTCCTTATACTATCTCAGACTACAGAAAACCAAGGCTAGAAGCTCAAATTACTTTTGTGAAAATTACGAGGTTTAGGCTATCAAATATATTAACTCTTCGCTTTCCCTCGCGCTTCACCTACTAGCGCAGACCTAGCATGCAACCATAAGCTGATATTTCAGTGTTTTTCATTTGCATAGGTAAAGAAAAAGGACTGTATATTTCCCTAGGAGAAGCGATTTTGAACGAAAATGGACAAGTTTTGAATATAAGGACACCGTTGATTTAGCTCGGCGAGACGCATCATCCGGTATGTAGAAGTGCCACAATCTATTGGAGTACGTTAGGCATACGTCAGGCAGTAAATTTTCGCTCGATTTTGCAGCTTTTTGTCGGTTTATTCAGTGTGCTGATAACAACATCACTATTAATTTGCTTCTGATGGCATATCGTACAAATACTGTTAAAGTATGGCAGAGTCACTTGAAATTTTGATCGATTTATTCTAACAATAATTTCAGCTCGGAATCAGCTAGGTGTTTCTGATGCCGGTAATTATATTCATCTGATGCTCAAGACACAGCAGGAAGCCGATGAAGGTCATTTTAGTTGTGTTCGAAACGTTGCCTATGGTTGCTTCCAGGTGCTGCTAGTTCTAACCAAAAGGTCGCATGTCGCACTGACGACCTAAAACGAAATAGTATTATCAAATGCGTTTTGATGAGCTGATTCTTAGTCTAATTACCTTAATTGCTAAACGGCTCTCTAGTAGAAGTTATGGGTGTCTCCGAATCTCGCAAACAATCAGTGTCAACAATCAAGAATTAACGGTACAATTACTCTTCGCTACGTTAGTAGAGTTTTTGCTCTTACAAGGTAAGGATACTAACTTAGATTCGCCTTTTAAGAGTACCACAACATCATGCCTTGGTCTTTTGAATTGGTCTTCAAAGTAAATTAAGCAAAAAAACCTCAGTGACTCTATACTTTCAACCGCTCATAACTGCAGAGCACGTGCTTTCATCAAAGCATATAGCACATTGCACGTAATAGGCTTTGATTGCTATTTTCCAGTAGAGCTGCTCTACACAACATCCCAGATAGGAAATCTGTTAAAGGCTTTTCTTCAAACCAAGAGAAAGAGTGGTAAATTTCGGCGATACACAGGATTTAGGGACCGTACATCAATCTACCGTACAATAGCACCTCAGAAAACAAATTCTGCGATGGTACCGCATGCTATCTTTCCCACCTAAACTGAGTTTCGCATTAATCTGAGGCCTTCACTTACGTTCTGCGGACGGTTTTATTAAGTTCGCAATTTAACGCTTTCTGTAGATGGTGGATTCCCGTACGCGATAGAGCAGCCTTCCTAGTTTCGAGTTGTGAATGAATAATACAGAATGTCCTTTGCTGTGAGGGAGTAAATGGCTAGAATTTTGGAGAAATCCATGTCATCTATAAACAGCTCACCGTAGCCCTACAGAGAGAATTTATCTTGCAGATTAGATGTGATTCATGATCAACAGATCGAATATCCCCTTAAGGCAGACATTCTAGGGAAATCGGGACATTTGATTTTGTCTCGTTCTCGCTCTTGAGCTTGCCGCAAATTTTGGCTGGAATGATCATGATTCGACTTGAAACTTCGCTCACGAAGGTTCTAGAACCCACTGTTTGCGACAACCTAGTTTTTCCTGCACGAAGGGTTCTACTGTAAAGTTACAGTAAGCCGGATATAGCTAATTCACGCATGCTCGCAAGTTGGTCTGCACTTTTCGCCCATCTGCTGACGGACTAGCCTGCACATTATTGTAGGCTAGAGTCTCTGTAAACAGTACAGTAGGATTATGCTTTACGTATGCCCTCATTTGCACTATCGTCCAAATTATGAGCTTACGAATTGACGTTCTTATAAATCTTGTCCCATCTAAAAATGGCGTATTTTGGCGAGATGTGTCACAAGTGCGTAACACGCTGGTTACAGTCACCAAATTTATTCCGCACGTGATAGCTTGGCAGATATTTCGAAACTTACCATTCTTTCTCTTGGTTTGAAGGAAAGCCATTAACTGATTCTCTATCTACGATGTTGCTCAGATAATCGCGGGGGGCAGGCGGTCCGCAAACATTTCTGCAAGCGGTCAGCAGACTTTTGGGGCGTGGCCAAACCTTCAGCGAGCGGTACTTCCTTTACTATCTAATGTTCTGCCAGCAGGCAGCAACACAGAATTTTCTGCAGGCGCTCGTCAAATGATTTCTTTCAGCGAGCGCTGGTCAAACTTTCAGCTGGCGCTCGGACGGTTTTTAAGCAGTTTCGGGCGTACGCCAAGCAAAGGTGACACTCTACATGGCAGAGGTGTCATCGATGGTTTAGTTACTCAAGTTTAAGGTACTTTCTCTCAGCGGAAAGTACCTACGGACTGCGCGATCCTCCACAAAGGACCGCGCGGCCTTCGAAAAATTTGCATATTGTCGCGGAAAGTCCGCGAGAATGCGGCCACTAGGACGCAACTTATCCACAGACAGACCGCAATAGTTCTCCAAGAGTTCCTCCAAAAATTGACCAAAATTGTTCCAAATTTCTGCAAGCGGACCGCAAGAAATCAGCAAACTATTTTTCCGGT